GGGTACGCATCAATAGCAAGCGGAACCTGATATCTCTTGCGACTAGATTGCGTAGAATCTGCAGCTCCGAATCAGCAGAAGAAGAGATCACTCTTTTGACGAAAGCACTATTTGAGAATGGCTATCCACCACACTTTATAGATAAATACACAAAGCTGAAAATCAAAAAAGAACAACCCACCTCTATGTCGAAGAAGATGCTATACATGAATGTGGCGTTCAAAGGCGACCTTCTGGCCGACATCCTAAAGAGAAGAATATTTAACGCCCTGAAAAAGACATTCCCTCCTGTTACATTACGATTGGTATTCCCAAACCGCCCAGTGTTCTTCGATAACTCCCAAGATAAACTATCGCATTTGACCACTTCCATGTGTAACTACCAATTTACTAGCTCATGTGCAGCGAGCGGTATATATATATATATATATATATATGGATCGTTCGATGAGTGTTTTATTTGAAAGAGTCAAAGAACATTATCCCACTTGGCTACGAAAACGTAACAGCGGATGAATAAAGAGTGCTATAATTGAACATACAGTCAACACTGGTCACTCAGTAGGTAAGCAGAATTCATTCAACGTCATCTACAAAGTCAAAAGAGGCCTCCTGAAAACAGTAAGCTTCCATATAGTTTGCATTGCCGAAGCCCAAGCGATTCGGATAGAAAACCCTGATTCATGCACACAGAAGAAACTTCTCCACCACCTACTTCTACCTTGGGTATAATTCCAAGTTCTACCACTTTGTTAATGTTTTGTTTTGTTTTTTTGTTTTTGGAGATTTTGTGGGGCATCTTAGTAACATCTTCTTAACCAAACCTTTAGTTACTTTTCTGCCTATTACTTAATGTATTTCTTTGGACACGTGTTTCCATCAACACCCTGTTTCACATTACGCAATCCTTGTCAATACTTACCAAACTTCAACTTACCAACTCCAACCAACCTCCACGGTGTGGGCAGCCGGGAAGTAACAATCGCCCTCACAATCCGAAATGCACACGAAACCTCTCTATTACTCACTCATCTTTGTCTTCATCTTCATCTCTATCATCTTGCCTTCCTTCCACTGATGCAACTCCTCGACTTGATAGCTCTCCACTTCCTCTCCACTCTGCGTCCACTAAAAACGATGGAAGCCAAAAAACCACCACCGACAGCCTCTTAAAGCCGCGCCACCAATTTCATATAGGAGCTCTTAATGTTAGGACACTTTGCCAAATAGGACAACAAGCATCACTAGCCAAGACCCTGGCATCACGAGCCATTGATGTATGCTGTGTTTCAGAAACACGCATACAAGACCCAAGTGTGGTTATTCACCTAACCCCACCTGGCCAACAGGTTGAATCTGCAAAATTCACCTTGAGGGTGTCAGGAGATGCCACAGCTAGTTCACGAGGATTAGCTGGCGTAGGGATAGCTTTGAGTACTAGGGCAGAAAAGACATTGCTTGACTGGATCCCGGTAGATAGCCGAATGTGTGCTGTCCGCCTGAACGGATCAGTAAGAAGGAGGAAGGACTGCACTACTCGCCGATGCCTTTTCGTAATCTCCGCCTACGCCCCCACTGACTGCAGTTCAGATGAAACGAAGGATGAGTTCTACCAAAAGCTGTCTAGTTTGGTGGAAAGGCTAAACGCTCAGACATAGTCGTTCTAGCTGGTGACTTTAACGCTCAAGTAGGGAAATTGTGTCAATCTGAGAAGGATGTCGGTGGCACCTATGGAGTTCCGTGCCAGCGAACCGACAACGGTGACCGTCTCCTACAGTTCTGCTCTGATAATCATTTGTTTCTTGTAAGCACTAACTTCAAACACAAGGAGAGACACTGTTTGACTTGGAGACCCCCTTCATCAAACCAACGCTGGACACAAATAGACCACATAGCAATAAGCTATCGTTGGCGTGGGTCGGTAGGAGATTGTCGCTCCTTCTGGAACACGTGCGTAGATACCGACCATGCACTGGTCCGCGCTCGGGTGTGCTTACGACTGAACGGACGTAGGAAACAGCTGGCGGTAAAACCATCACGTCCCCAGCTCGATCAGGAAACTAAATCCGTATTTGAGGAAGAACTAGCTAAACACATATCTGTGTTCGACAGCTGTGCTCACCCTGAAGAAGCTTGGAAAAATATCCAGGCAGCCATAGATACAGCTGTAAAAGCTGTGAATAAGGTAAACCCAAAGGTGAGTAAAAACCACTGGATCTCCACCGCCTCATCCGAACTGATAGATGCTAGAAGACTTATTCCGGCGAGCTCCGAATTCAATGAGGAGCGAAAGCTGCACAAGAGGAAACTTACGAAAAGTCTCCGCAAGGACCGTGAACAGTGGTGGGCGACAAAAGCCAAAGAGATGGAGAAAGCTTCGAGGATAGGCAACACCAGGCAACTCTTTGGACTCATCAGGGAAACGGGTGGGAGAAGACAAATCATTAGTGAGACAATCTCGGAAAAAAATGGCACTATAATTAGCTCCCAGGATAGACGACTGGATCGTTGGAAAGAGCATTATGAGGAGCAGTTTAATTTGCCCACAGCCACGCTCAACCTTCCGAGCATCCAACACCTCCCTGAATGGGATATAGACACAGGTCCTCCGTCACTAACTGAGGTTACTAAAGCTGTCACCAATCTGAAACTAGGCAAAGCAGCGGGACCTGATGGAATGACTCCAGAGGTATTTAAGTACGGTGGAGACAGCTTACTGTCCGGATTAACTGAGGTACTAGGCAGCGTCTGGGAATCAGAAGAAGTCCCATCGGGTTGGTGTAAGTCACTGATTATCCCCATATACAAGAAGGGAGACAAGTCTTCCTGTGATAATCACAGAGGGATTAGCTTGACTAATATAGTATCTAAAGTCTTAGGCTCAATAATCATGCGTAGACTGAGTGGTGCTCGGGAAGCACAAACACGAGAGAGCCAGGCAGGCTTTAGACCAGGAAGAGGGTGTATTGATCATATCTTCACCCTCCGACAGATTCTAGAACATAGGCATTCCTACCGGCGTCCAACAGTCATTATATTTCTTGACCTAAAGGCAGCATTCGACTCTGTCGATCGGGAAGTTCTCTGGAGATGCTTGGCTGTAAAGGGAATTCCGAGAAAATATATTGCACTGATTAAGGCACTCTACTCGTACTCATACAGCCAGGTGAGGGCTTACGGCGAGCTGTCATCTGAACTGATGACGACCAGTGGTGTCCGTCAAGGATGCCCATTATCTCCTTTTCTATTCAACTTCATCATAGATGTGTTAATGGACTTAACCCTAGGTGACTTCAGCGACTCAGGGATTGACTTGCTACCGGGGAATAATCTCGTTGACTTGGAATATGCAGACGATATAGTCCTTCTAGGCGAAGACGCTGACGAAATGCAGAGTCTTCTAAACACCTTGAGCCGCAATCTACGAATGTTTGGCATGCGATTCGCTCCCGCCAAATGCAAGATGATGTTACAGGACTGGACTACATCGACGCCTAGTTTAAAAATAGGAAGTGAAGTGGTAGAGCACGTTGACCGCTTCACTTATTTGGGAAGTACCATCAGCCCCAACGGGCTGATCTCTGACGAAATCTCAGCACGAATACAAGGGGCTCGTTTCGCATTTGTTAGTTTACGCCGACTCTGGCGTAGACGAGATGTTCGACTATCGACCAAAGGGCGGGTGTACTGCTCATCAGTCCGCTCCGTCCTCCTTTATGGTTGTGAGACCTGGCCACTGAGAGTGGAAGACATGAAAAGACTAGCTGTCTTTGATCATAGGTGCCTGCGTTCTATTTCCCGTGTAAAGTGGCATAATAAGGTGAGCAACATTGAGGTTAGAACATGGAGGTTAGGCGTAGAGTTCTAGGTAAACAGGGGAAATCAATCGACGAAGTCGTGAAGCTACAAAGACTGAGATGGTTAGGACATGTGTTACGTATGCCAAGCCATCGCCTCCCTCGACGAGCAATGTTAGCGGATATAGGGTCAGGCTGGAAAAAAGCTAGCGGCGGTCAAACAAAAACTTGGCATCAGTCAATGAAATCCACAACAGTTGGTCTAAGCCACGTAGGAAGGTGTAGACTTCCAGGCTGGGGTCCTCGGGACGGTAAAAATCTATGGTTGGAAACAATTGGTGACATGGCTCAAAATCGTTCTCAGTGGCGCAGATGCATCCACTCCCTGTGACTTATGATCTTCAATGAAACTGTTTTGTATTTCTTTATTACTCCTTTGTCTCACACCTCTGCTCACTGTTTCTATTATGCTTTTCTTGTACTTTCTTCTCTTGCTTCGCGTGCTACACGGAATGTGGCGACTTGAACTTCCGCACATTTGTGCAAAGTTCTATGTCGAAAACAGCAACAGACAGACCAAACTCCACCCCGGTAGTTACGATTTTGATTATTCGTCACATTTTATAAACATTTTGATGACATAAACAGTAACTCTAATTTTGTTTTTGTTTGACAATTCTAATGTACGCACACACACACACACGCGAAATAATTATACATAAATGGGATTGTAGAACGAAGTGAATGGACTCGCCGAAAAGAGACTCTTCACTGAAATTTTATGTTTTATATTCACGTCTGGATGGCTATTTTCCAAAAGAGTATTCACTCTAACATACATAATGAATATCTCTGAAATAACGGTTGGAATACTAAGACTCTTTGAAATAGATAAAGCACACAAGCTAGAACAATCGCTTCACTCGAAACTGTGCGTCGGTGGCACAGTGGTTAGGACTCTCGCCGACCATGCACATGGTCCGGGTTCGAGCCGGCGCCGGCGCACACCTGATATCTATGGTCGGCCTGCAAAATTTGGGCTACCGATATCCATGCTGAAAATTCCATACTTGTGCCAAAAAAATAGGGTGGAATCAAGCTGTAAATCAAAAAATCAAAAAAAAATTAAAAAAAAAATAAAAAAAAAAAAACCAAAAAAGATCCAACAGAAAACGAAGATAAGATTAACACCATTTACAAAATGAACTCCATGAACTGTGATAAACGCTAAATCGCTCAAAGTGGGCGTCTCATTCGACTCCGAATGAAAGAAGAAAAATTAGCTGCAAAACCGCACGATATGTATTCTTTTATATCGATTTGTGTAGATAATTATAGATACGAATGTGACTGAAATAATGTAGAAATTTTATAATGAGGAAATACCAAAAATCCCGAGGAATTTCCAGAAAACTGGTACTCAGAAGATTCAGTCGTTTACAAACACACTGCTGTAGATCAAATTTACTAACTAGTAAAAAATAAATTAAATAGTAACTCAGTTCAGATTCCACTTCAATAAAAATAATCAACAGGGAAGTAAATAAATTAACAAAAAATCACCATAATGGTTGTCAAGGGATATAATTATATCATTCAAGAGGGATTCAAATATGTTATTTCAAACAAAATACCCGCTGAAGATGTTTTCTAGAAAAACAACGAAAGCTCCACAATTAAATCAACCAGCTCAAAGAAGCTAACACAATCGAAATAAGACAGAATCGTGCAAAACGACGAATTATTACTCGAAAAACTACCGATACCCTAATAATAATTCAAAGTTAACAGATTCACTAAATAATAAAAACAACGCAGTTATATTTTTTAGAAAATATATATTCTGAAATCTCTGTAAATCTTACACTTTCACGAAAGACACGAATCTAAGTGTTCATTAATCTCAGAAAGAGAAATAATACAAGTACAACATGGACAAGACACATTTGTCACATTACCTGTTCCACTGGTAGGCGATTTCACCTCAATCGATTTATTCACTCGATGAGATAACAAATCACCACCACCGAGGACATGACCTTTATCATCACTAGGCCAAACGTGTTTAGACGAAGAACTGCTTTGGCTACTTCCTGAGTGACTAGGATAATCTGACACGGAATTTCCATCCTCATTGTTGATGTTAATAAAGTTCCGAATATCACCACCTTTAGCTTGTTTTTCTAAAACAAAAATAAAATGACGATTTCACTTAAATTAATTATTTAAGAGGAATTGATGAAAAAGACTGCTTGCAAACTAATATTACATATAACAGTATTAAGGCAATCTTTAGACTCACACATTCACCTAAGGAACTTAACCAATGTGAATTTGCATGTGAAATACATCTCATCCACATCTCTTAGGAATAACAATCATGTGCCTAAAGGTATTCAGGCGTGCAGTAGCCAACTACAGTAGCCAACAACACTAACAGATTATTAAGGTGGAGCTTCACGCATCTCACGTCATCGTATAATAGCAACAAAAAAAACCAATGGTATTAGAAGTATAATGCTGAAATAACAGACAACGAGACACGTCATATACATCAAATAAGTACATATAACACATACTGAAGCGATCAATGTTCAAGAAGCGAAATCAAGTGAATATATCTGTACGACTGAAATTGACTGAGAGCTATATCATCGACAGTCGCAAACCACTGATTCCACTTTGAGAAACTTAAGTAGGCAATCCCAGTTACCCTACATGACTCACAAACAATCACACACACTTTATGGATTCATATCACATGTTACTAGGAGAAGAGCAATGCTACAAATACATGAATTTCCAAGTCTTCGTTTGCTGGGATTTGATTAGTTACAGGTTTTACCACTACCTGATATCATTTGAAGAACCATCGGAAGGCTATGAAGTACTGAAAAACTGTTTCTTCCTCACCTGGATAACCTTCGCCAGCAACCACTCTCTGGGTTTCGGACCCAGGACCTTCCAGCTACAAGGCGAGCTCGAAAACCATTCAGCCACTGGGACCCGACTATCGGTCCAAGAATACCTACTTCTGCCAATTTTCGAGATGTATAGCACAATCGCCAGTGAATGGAGAGTAACTAATCCCTTTCTTGACTTCGTGGAGCCCATTGGTCACCTCTCACTGGAACTCCAAATAACTTCCTGTATATAGGCAGTTACCAGTAAGCATCTGGTTATTTATCAAGTATTGGTTTGTACGGATTGATTGGCTAAAGGTTACTCATATTTGTTTAGTGAGTTTTGCATTAGAATTCTTGTGCACAATTTGCATTTACATTCTCCGTTGTAAACATTATTTAGTCCTTTACAGTCCTTAGATTAAACTACATTTTCCAAGCATACAAAAAAAGTTGTCATCGTGTTTACAAATGTTGGTTTGTAGGGATTTGATTGGTTTCAGGATTACATCATGAGCTGACATTAGTTAGAGAACCATTGGAAAACCTGGGAGTACTGGCAGCTGTTTCGTCCTAGTTTTGGACTCTTCAGCAGTACCCACCCACTGGGACTCGAACCCAGGACCTTCCGGTTACAAGGCGAGCTCGTATACCATTAAGCCACTGGGACCCGATCCAATGGTCCTTGAATTCTAACTTCTGCCAATTCACGACATAGCGCGACCACTAGCCAATTTCTTCGGCGAGTATTTGTCCTCACACCCGACCTGCTGCACCCTAATCTTGTTTAACTGATGATTTTTGCGCGAATTACTGTCAATGACACTTGTCGCTGACTGCAGCTTTACATATATATGCCTGATGTGGCCCAAATGGTCTACTGCATAACTCTTTGTCAATTGAAACAATGGTTACTGGATTCCAGGCTGAGTACAAAAACCACCATTCCCTGCAAAATGCAGGCACGTCTAGCTGAAGAGTCCCAAATATGATGAAATCCTAATCCTGCATTCTAATGTTAATCACCATCCACCCAATTTCCACTTCGAAACCTTCGTGTTCTGTTCAAAAATTAAAATAACGCTTTCGTGAACAGACTGGTAAACACATGTCGTGCTGCCTAATTATAATAACTTTGTTTTGTTTAATTTTACAAAGCGAAATCCGTATGCCGGGCAACATTAACATATTAATCAACTGCTGGATCATATTGCACACCGTGCGACGCACTTAATATGAAGAACAACGGAGCCCCGACTTTCATAGACCCAGTACAGTTCCTGATAAATTATTTAAAATAAGCACAGCGTGTTTAACAATACATAGAAACAAGATTCTTGTGAACACTTTGCTGTAGAAGCCGCACCTCCTCTACACAGAATTATGCTGATTTTATTAACCATCAAAATATACAATCAAAAAGTTACATAAATTGAAATGAGTTCCTCTGAAGGTCCCTTGTCGGCAGATAATTGTACCAATAGGAAAATGTAAATAGTCATCACATATTTCTAATGACCAATGTCAAATTGTCACAGGTACATGTTTGTCTGAATGAGTGTACGTGTGAATGTGCATGTTGTTTTGTTGTTATATGGGAAACACGTCAAAATACGATGATATTTCTACAGCGGTCACAACACCAGACTGAATATTTCAGTATTTTCTCCCATCTGATTTGCTTTATTATAGTTTGATAAGTCTATCGCTTCTCTCCTGTTTATTACACTCGATGTAGTTAAAATGTGCGATGCTTCACAGGTCAGCCCTTCCTAATGTGAATGAAAGCGTCTTCCTAGAATTTCCACATTGTTGAAATAGATCTGATGTCCGCCTTCTACAGCGTGCATTGCTTTAGCTGATCTTGTTTTGAGACTGTTTGGTCGTACTTCAATGATTGATTTCTCTAATTTGGTAAGATACACTTTGTCAAAATACATATCAAGAACAGTGGGTCCACTTCAATGTCATATTCCTTCAAACACTGAGAATATTGAGAAGTTTAAAGGAATAGGGATGAATATTAGTTTTGAAGAAGGATGAAATTATGGCAAGTTCTGACGTTATTTCTCTTACTTACTAGTATTACTATATATGATTCACTTGATAATATGAAATATGAACTAGAAATTAATCAATAATTATTACCCTAAATGTTCACTATCAATAAAAGACATATAAAATGCTTAATACTCTGTTCAGAATCTACTTATTTTACCTTCAAAGATAAACTTTACTTTCACACAAATGGGGTTGCAACGGGATCACCAAAATCTCCGATTGTAGTAAATCTCTAAATGAAAGATCTAGAAGGGTAAGCGCACTCGCGAGTTATTGTTGTCATCTTAGAATACGGTACAGATTTGTAGATGACGCATTTATCATTATTAATAGAACTGAAAAAGAAAACCTCCTAGAGCACAAATTACTCAATTTCAAAGTGTATTATGTTTACAAATGAAGTTGTGAATGGGATCAGGGGACTTTAAACTTTCTGGATTGTCTTGTGAGAAGACAAAGTGTCGGGAAAATAAAGTTCACGATATACAAGAAAGCGCTACACTCAAAAATGTATTTGAATCTCCAGCCTGATCATGCAAAAAGAATGAAAGTTTCTGCAGTTTTATATCTCGTAAACACAACTAGAAAGATTATTACAGATAATGATGGTATGGGGAATGAAAAATCCAATATAAAACAAATTTTGATTGGAAATGGTTATCCGAGAAAGCTTCTAAATAACATTACCAGTAGACAGTAATAGAGGGGAAAGAAAATTGACAAATATCCGCTCTCGGCGATAGCCATTCCATATCGAAAGGACACAGCTGAACAACTTAAAAGACTGTTCGCTTCATATAACGTCAAGGTCTATTTCAAGCCCTCTAATTCTCTAGAGAGAGCTTTGGTGAATGTCAAAGATATGGTTCCCGAAATGTCATAAAGTAATTGTGTCTACAGGATAAAGTGTTCAGAATGTGAAACTTGCTACATAGGAGAGAACGGCAGACAGGTGAAAGTCAGAGTGAATGAACATTGGTTGTGTACGAAACGACTGCATAACAATGAAGTAGAATTAAAGAGTTGAAAAAAGAACAGCTAAAGCGATGCACGTTGTAGAAGGCGGACATCAGATGGATTTCAACAATGTGGAAATTCTAGGAAGACGCTTTCATTCACATTATGAAGGGCTGACCTCTGAAGCCCTGCATATTTTAACCACATCGAGTGCAATACATAGGAGAAGGGATAGACTTATCGGCTATAAGACAGATTCTACCTAATAAAGCAAATCAGATGAGAGAAAATACAAATTATTCAGTCCTATGTTGTGACCACTGTAAAGATATTCTGTCTGGATTCAACATAGAACTTGGCACCGAAGTGCACCAGTTCCAGTTGCCACGTTCCAAATAGCACACAAAGGTAGACAAGAAGATGAGTGAAGAAAATCAATAGAGTTTGACAGGTATAAGAGCGAAACAGAATGGCTAATGGTAGAAAGAAATATGAAGGATTGCAGAGACTGAATACATCTGCGCCATTGACAACGATTTTGAGCCATGTCACCCATTGTTTCCAGCCATTGATTCCTAGAGTCCCGAGGGCCCCGACTCGACTCAGTTTAACTGTCAAGGATTTCATGGATTGATGCCATGATTTTGTTTGGCCATCACTTACTCTTTTCCAACCTGCGCCCATACCAGCCAGTAACGCCCGTCGGGGGAGGCGCAGCACGTGACCTAGTCATTTCAATCTATGTAACTTTATAGCCCCGTCGATTGATTTTCCCTCTTTGCCCAACATTCTACGCCTAACGTCAACATTACTTACCTTATTAAACCACCTAACGTGAGAAAGAGATCGCAGACATCTATGATCGAAAGCAGTCAACCTTTTCATGTCTTCAACTCATATTGGCCATGTTTCAGAGCCATAGAGAAGGACGGAGCGAACTACTGAGCAGTACACACGTCCCTTGGTTGATAAAAAGCCGAATGTCACGCCTACGCCAGAGATGGTGTAAGTCAGCGAAAGCAGTTCGAGCTTTTCGGATCCTTGCTGAGATTTCGTCGCCAAACAGTCCGTTGGTGCTGATACAACTTCCCGAATAGGTGAAGTGGTCAACATGTTCTATCACTTCACCCCCTATCACTAAGCTAGTAGTTGACGTAGTCCAGTCCTGTAGCAGCATCTTACATTTTGCAGGGGAAAAAAAAAAAAAAAAAAAACGAAGATTGCTGCTCAAGGTGTTCAGAAGACTCTGCATTTTTCCAACATCCTCCCCTAACAGGACTATGTCATGTGCATATTCCAAGTCCATAAGACTATTCCCTGGTAACAAGTAGATTCCTTAGTCGTTACGTTCAGTTAAGGATACTTCCATTAGCATATCTATGATGAAGTTAAACAGGAATGGGGAAAGTGGACATCCCTGTCGGACACCATTGGTTGTTATCAGTTCAGATGACTATTCCCCATAAGCCCTTACACGACTACGTGAGTTCGAATAGAGTGCCTTGATTAGTGCAATGTACTTTCTTGGCACTCCCTTCACAGTCAAACATTGCCATAGTACCTTTCGATCCACGGAGTCGAAGGCTGACTTCAAGTCAAGAAAAATGGCAATTGTTGGACGCCGAAAAGTGTGTCTATGTTCTAGAATCTGCCGCAGAGTGAAGATATGATCTATGCACCCTCTACCTGATCTAAAGCCTGCTTGATTTTCCCTCATTTGTTCCTCCCGAGTTCTGCTTAGTCTATGCATGATTACTGAGCCTAGGATTTTAGAAACTATGTTCGTTAGGCTGATCCCGCTACGATTATCACACGAGGACTTGTTTCCCTGCTTGAATATCGGTATAAAAAGTGACTTACCCCAGTCTGATAGAACCGTCTCTGATTCCCAAACTTTGCCTGTTTTGACGTGTTTCCCATATAACAACAAACAACATGCACATTCACACGTACACTCATTCAGACAAACATGTACCTGTGACAATTTGACATTGGTCATTACAAAAATATGTGATGACTATTTACATTTTCCTATTGGTACAATTATCTGCCGACAAGGGACCTTCAGAGGAACTCATTTCAATTTATGTAACTTTTTGATTGTATATTTTGATGGTTAATAAAATCAGCATAATTCTATGTAGAGGAAGTGCGGCTTCTACAGCAAAGTGTTCACAAGAAACTTGTTTCGATATTTTATTAAACACAATTAAAACAATTCAGTTATATTGTTTAAAAAATATATATATTCTGAAATCTCTGTAAATCTTAAACTTTCACGAAAGACACGAATCTAAGTGTTCATTAATTCAGAAAGAGAAATAATACAAGTACAACATGGACAAGACACATTTGTCACATTACCTGTTCCACTGGTAGGCGATTTCACCTCAATCGATTTATTCACTCGATGAGATAACAAATCACCACCACCAAGGACATGACCTTTATCATCACTAGGCCAAACGTGTTTAGACGAAGAACTGCTTTGGCTACTTCCTGAGTGACTAGGATAATCTGATACGGAGTTTTCATCCTCACTGTTGATGTTAATAAAGTTCCGAATATCACCACCTTTAGCTTGTTTTTCTAAAACAAAAATAAAATGACGATTTCACTTAATTAATTATTTAAGAGGAATTGATGAAAAAGACTGCTTGCAAACTAATATTACATATAACAGTATTAAGGCAATCTTTAGGCTCACACATCCACCTAAGGAACTTAACCAATGTGAATTTGCATGTGAAATACATCTCATCCACATCTCTTAGGAATAACAATCATGTGCCTAAAGGTATTCAGGCGTGCAGTAGCCAACTACAGTAGCCAACAACACTAACAGATCATTAAGGTGGAGCTTCACACATCTCACGTCATCGTATAATAGCAACAAAAAAACCAATGGTATTAGAAGTATAATGCTGAAATAACAGACAACGAGACACGTCATATACATCAAATAAGTACATATAATAACACATACTGAAGCGATCAATGTTCAAGAAGAGAAATCAAGTGAATATATCTGTACGACTGAAATTGACTGAGAGCTATATCATCGACAGTCGCAAACCACTGATTTCATAGATTCATATCACACCTTAGAGCAATGTTAGGAATACATATATTTTCAAGTGTTTGTTTACAGGAATTTGATTAGTTACAGGTTTCATCAAAAACTAATATAATTTGGAGAACCACTGGAAGGCCAAGGAGTGTTGAAGAAATGTTTCTTCTTTCTTGGGTCTCTTCAGATCCAGAAAGTTTTGGTTACAGGGGGATCGTGTAAACATTTCTGTGATTCAGGGCTTATTGTGGAGGAAAGCCATACTTTTGGGAAGCAGCTGTCCAATACTTCCTGACGTTCTAGTAGTTTTTTAGGCAGTATCAGGTTGTGACCAAATCACTAGCCAAATCAATGCATATGCAGAATTTAATGAGTCTTTATCTTTATCACACTATCATTCCTACTGACTGCATCGGTGGTTTGGTGGTAGATAACTTGACAACTACACACGTAGTCCGGGATCCGATCCCCGGGTAGACGCACTTAAACACCACGCCTATCTGGTAGTAAGCCAGGTAAAAGAGGGGAGGTTAGGTGTCAGGCTACCAACTTCATACCGTATAAGAAAATACCACTGCCATCTAAACTTCAAAGCTCAAGCTTGGAGTCTTATGTTCCACTTGGAACGTAAGGGAATAAAAAGAATCACACTTGGAATTAGCAGAAAGCATAAATGAGTTGACACACTGCCTAGCATCAAAAACTGAGAATCTTAGAAAAAAAGTATTAACAACCCAGTTATTCGATTTATATTCAAGTGTTGGTTTGTAGGGATTTGATTGGTTTCAGGATTACATCATGAGCTGACATTAGTTAGAGAACCATTGGAAAACCTGGAAGTACTGGACAGCTGTTTTGTCCTAGTTTGAGACTCTTCAGCAGTACCCACCCACTGGAACTCGAACCCAGGATCTTCTGGTTACAAGGCGAGCTCGTATACCAGTCAGCCACTGGGACCGATCCAATGGTCCTTGAATTCTAACTTCTGCCAATTCACGACATAGCACGACCCCTAGCCAATATTTTCGGCGAGTATTTGTCCTCACACCCGACCGATTTATCATATGTAACGAATAACACCCTCAAAAAGCCCATGAATGATAATGGAAAAATATAGAAATCCTCTGAAGAATACCAAAGAATAATTTCCCGCAAACGTTAATCTACTGTTGGCAATTTTAACAGCCATAGACAGTGGAAGTCAGTGGACTTCCAATCAACATAACTTGGTTTGGGACTGTCTACATTTTCTTATTGATTCAAATGGCTGCCGACAAGGAAGCTTCAGAGGAACTCACTTCAATTTATGTAACTTATTGACTCTACATTTTGATGGTTAATAGAATCCGCATAATTTTGTTGGGTGTGGTTTGCACAGCAAAGTGTTCAGAAGAATCTTGTTTGGATGTTCTATTAAACACGCTGGGATTATTTTAAATAATTTGTGTAATTCAGTCTGACTCGACGCTCAAATCATCACATGAAATGAGTAACATCTACAGTCTTGAAACGTATGAGGTATGGGTCTGATCCATTTAAATTCAAATATCCGGTGAAGGAAAATATTTGTTCAGATATGGTGAGTAGTCAATGCACCTGTCTCGGAAGACAGGAATAGCAACACCATCAGTGATGCAGGATCTCTCCTGATATCAGATATTTGCAGGAAAAAAAATTCACACAGAATACGTTAAAACCACAAAAGCATTTCTCAAGAGACTTTGGATAACAAAAACAATAATTCATAGTAAACTAAACTCATTGAATAATTAAAACAATTCAGTTATATTGTTTAAAAAAATATATATTATGAAATCTCTGTAAATCTTAAACTTTCACGAAAGACACGAATCTAAGTGTTCATTAATCTCAGAAAGAGGAATAATACAAGTACAACATGGACAAGACACATTTGTCACATTACCTGTTCCACTGGTAGGCGATTTCACCTCAGTCGATTTATTCACTCGATGAGATAACAAATCACCACCAACACAACACCACCACCAAAAACATGACCTTATCATCACTAGGCCAAACGTGTTTAGACGAAGAACTGCTTTGGCTACTTCCTGAGTGACTAGGATAATCTGATACGGAGTTTCATCCTCACTGTTGATGTTAATAAAGTTCCGAATATCACCACCTTTAGCTTGTTTTTCTAAAACAAAAATAAGGTAACAATTTCACTTATATTAATCATTTAAGGGGAATATATGAAAAAGACATCCTGTCAGTTAATATTACATATAACAGTGTTAAGGCTATTTTCTGGCTCACACATCTACCTAAGGAACTTAGTCAGTGTGAATTCGCATTTGAAGTACATCTTACCCACATTGCAAGAATTTGATTGGCTACAGGTTTGATCACTAGCTGATATCAGCTGGAGGACCATTGGAAGGCCAGTGAGTACTGGGAAACTGTTTCTTCCTTATTTGGGTCCCTTCAGATCCAGGACCTTCTGGTTACATGGGTATCGTGTAGACATCTTTTCATTCAGGGCTTACTGCCGAGGGGTCCCATACTATCAAAAAGCAGCTATGCAATACTTCCCGGTCTTCCAGTGTTTCTCTAGCTGATGTCACGTCGGGATCAAACCTCTAGCTAAATAGATACATAACTGGAATTTAATGAGTCTGTCTGAAACTATTACATTATCATGCCTACTGATTGCTTCGGTGGTTTGGTGGTAGAATACTTCACAAACATACACGTGGCCCAGGGTTCGACTCCCAGTAGACGCACTTCTACACGACGCTTAGCTGGTAGTAAGCCCGGTAAAGAGGGAAGGTTAGGTGTGAGACTAGCAACCTCACGCTGTATGAGAAAATACGGCTGCTACTGTAACTTCAAAGCTCAAGCTTGAATCCTTATGTTCCATCTGGGACGCAAAGGAATAAAAAGAATCACACTTTAAATTAGTAGTAGGGGAAATGAGTTAACACAGTGTCTAGCATCATGAATTGAGAATCTCAGAAGAAAGATATTAATAATCCAATTATTCGATTTATCATATGTAACGAATAACATCCTCAAAAAAGCTCAGAATGATAATCGAAAAAATATAGAGATCCCTACAGAATACCAACGAATAAGCTCCCACAAACGTTTATCTGCTCTCGGCAATTTAACAGTTATATACAGTGGAATTCGGTGGGCTTCCAACCAACAGAACTCGGTTTGGATCCCACTCCACCTAAGTCAGTCTTGGAGACTGGGTAGTATCATTAATCTTCATACAATACATACGGCTTATAGTGTGGTGGGTGGGAAATCTATTCCAGTTACATGAGCCTTTTGGTAACCGTGATGAACCAAGCATAAAACTTGAATATAATAATAATAAAAACAATAACTCCAACAAAAATTGTTTGTCTTTACTTGGCTTAAACAAGATGATAAAACATAATTTGTTCTAGGGTGAAACTAAAATGCAAAGTAAGGTAAGCCATTTTGAACATACATTCAATAAGAAATTGGTGAAGACCATCTGTTATGCGAAATGAAGGCAATAATGATCAAAACCTTTGAAACTTTAGAATGTACTCACTCACAAAGCCGCAGAGTTTTTAAAAGCTCAATACAAATTACCAATAATCAATAGGTGATTTCATACATTTATTCCCCTTAATGAATTTGAACAAAGCAAGAACTACAGTTTTAGCAGCAGTTGACGAGAAGGCAACGAAATAAAAGATGGTACCATTTTATTCTGCTAAAACTGTAGTTCTTGTTTTGTTCAAAATCAATAGGTGTATAGATTTCCTAACTATTTAAATATCTACCAAAGGAAAGTTCATGAAACTACCTTTGAGCTTCAATAGTGATATAAAAAGAAAATTCACACCTGTAAAGCACTAAATATATGCAGAGGCGCAAACTATACGACTATTAATACCAATTCATGGATAATCCCCATCCAGGCATTAGTGAGAACAAAACACGTAGATCAGCAAAGAGTCTCTATTCAGCGGCAATGCATTTTCTTAGCTGTATAGTCGCAAATATATACGTGTTATTTTGTATGTATGTGTACATTAAGTTTGTCAAACAAAATTACAGCTGGTTATAGTTATTTTAACTGAACAGGTGAAGATTGGTAATTCAAGTCAAGAAAATTTTGCGGTAATGAAATTAGGGTAGTAACAAAGGTGATGAGTTGTCACAAACAGTTGTTGAAAGAAGTTATGTAATAATATGAATGGTTTGATGAGTGAGTTTTACTCAGGCTGCACATAGAAACAAAGTAGATAATACGAAATTACGTAAGAGTTCTAAATGAATGCTCTTACTTAATTTCGTATTATCTACTTTGTTTCTATGTGCAGCCTGAGTAAAACTCACTCATCAAACCATTCATATTATTACATAACTTCTTTCAACAACTGTTTGTGACAACTCATCACCTCTGTTACTACCCTAATTTCATTACCGCAAAATTTTCTTGACTTGAATTACCAATCTTCACCTGTTTAGTTAAAATAACCATAACCAGCTGTAATTTTGTTTGACAAACTTAATGTACACATACATACAAATTAACATATATATTTGGTAAAATTTGTTTTGATAAAGTCTCACAGTGTTATAAAGTAATGTTTACTAATGACGTTTCGAGCACGATTTATTGCTCATAATCATATCAAGGTACTCACACGACTTCCTAACTTCATTTACATAGTTCCATTATTTTTCCACTTGATTTTCACTTGATTTGATTGATAGTAATATTTTCCATATTTCAGGTATGAGTGATGAATCATTCTTATTGCATGTGTTTGGTGTAGACTCGATGAACAAGGATTCAATAATCAACCTCTCTCTCCACCTATCTAGATTACTTTTTAGAATTTTAACCCTCTCCCACTCTATTGTGTGGTTGTGTGTTAATGCATGCATTGCAATTGCTGAGCTTTTTTCTAAACTACCTATCTTTTTAGGGTCAACCATTCTTACCTTAGCTAAATTCTTATGTTCTGACAATCTGACTACCCCTGACCTACTAGTTTGACCTATGTAGTTGACCCCGCTCACAGTCATTGCAGGATATTTTGTAAATTATATTATTTTGTCTAATTGGATCAACTGGGTCCTTTAACCTACAGAGCTTGTCCCTGAGTGAGTTTGTAGGTTTAAATGCCACCCTAATTCCTGCTTTATTTAGAATCCTACGTAGGGTTTCGGATGTCCCCTCTTTATATGGTATAACTGTAGATGACATATTCTCTCTTATTTATGTTATTATTACTAGTTTCACAATATTTTTCTCTTTTCTTTTGGCCTTTTTCGATCTTCCCAATGAATTTTAAAGGATAGTTATTTAACACCAACGCCTCTTCTATCTGTTTTATTTCATCAATAAGGTCTTTTCTTGTGCTTCCTAGTGCTACTGCTCGGTTTGTTAAACACTTGACTAAGCCTGCCTTAATAGTTAACGGATGAGATGAATTAAAGTCTAAATATCTATTAGAATGAGTTGGTTCTCTGTACACACTAGTGTGCAGTTTACCTTTTTCTGTTCGTTTTATTTTACAATCTAACAGCTAATTCTCCTTGTTCATTTTCCGATTCAAATGTGGATTTTATTCCCTGTACTAGTGAGTTTATGTGTGTCGAGAAGCTACAGATATGTTCTGTTTTTAACACTGTGAAAGTGTCATCCACATATCTCCACCATATTTTTGGGGTAGGATCAAATGTATTGAGGGCACTATTTTCCCAGCTATCCATAAATATGTCTGCTACGATAGGGGGTATTGGTGATCCCGTTGCTACACCTTCTGTTTGTCGATATATTTTACCTTGGAATTTAAAGGTAGTAAATGTGAGGCATAACTGAATCCGTAAAATAATTTGTTCAATGGGTAGCTTTGTACCATGATTGAGTGCAGGATCCGCAGTTAGTTCTTTTTCGACTGCTTCTAAGGCCATATTGATGGTATATTAGTATAAAGACTAGTTACATCAAAACTAACCACACTAGTGTGTACAGAGAACCAACTCATTCTAATAGATATTTAGACTTTAATTCATCTCATCCGTTAACTATTAAGGCAGGCTTAGTCAAGTGTTTAACAAACCGAGCAGTAGCACTAGGAAGCACAAGAAAAGACCTTATTGATGAAATAAAACAGATAGAAGAGGCGTTGGTGTTAAATAACTATCCTTTAAAATTCATTGGGAAGATCGAAAAAGGCCAAAAGAAAAGAGAAAAATATTGTGAAACTAGTAATAATAACATAAATAAGAGAGAATATGTCATCTACAGTTATACCATATAAAGAGGGGACATCCGAAACCCTACGTAGGATTCTAAATAAAGCAGGAATTAGGGTGGCATTTAAACCTACAAACTCACTCAGGGACAAGCTCTGTAGGTTAAAGGACCCAGTTGATCCAATTAGACAAAATAATATAATTTACAAAATATCCTGCAATGACTGTGAGCGGGGTCAACTACATAGGTCAAACTAGTAGGTCAGGGGTAGTCAGATTGTCAGAACATAAGAATTTAGCTAAGGTAAGAATGGTTGACCCTAAAAAGATAGGTAGTTTAGAAAAAAGCTCAGCAATTGCAATGCATGCATTAACACACAACCACACAATAGAGTGGGAGAGGGTTAAAATTCTAAAAAGTAATCTAGGTAGGTGGAGAGAGAGGTTTATTAGAATCCTTGTTCATCGAGTCTACACCAAACACATGCAATAAGAATGATTCATCACTCATACCTGAAATATGGAAAATATTACTATCAATCAAATCAAGTGAAAATCAAGTGGAAAAATAATGGAACTATGTAAATGAAGTTAGGAAGTCGTGTGAGTACCTTGATATGATTATGAGCAATAAATCGTGCTCGAAACGTCATTAGTAAACATTACTTTATAACACTGTGAGACTTTATCAAAACAAAATTTACCCATAATGGAATTACACTCGACCACGGTGCACAAGTTTTATTCTTATAACATATATATTTGGGATTGTACAGCTAAGAAAATGAATTTGCCGAAAAGAGACTCTTCGTTGATCTACGTGTTTTGTTTTCATTAAGTAATACTAAATCCAAACATTCAAATAACCCCAGAAAACTCCCATCAAGAAAAACAAAGCTGATTTTACTATGAACCGGGAATATTAAACAGTAAAGAATTCACTAAGTATAGCAGGGAAGATCAATGCACACCAGAAAAGTCTGACCACCAATCTAACAAAACTATACGGAATGTAAAACAACATAACATGTGGTCCAACTCCGGTATGTACGATAATCAGTAAAGTAGTATGAGAATCCCTATTGTACGGACAGAAGCATGAGTTTCCACAAAAACCACTGTGAAAAGTTAATTATTCATATTTCTACTGAAAACGATAGAAAGTGGGTGTCCTTTTACAAATTTGAAACATACAACATTTCGGAAAAAACTGACTCGCATCATCTTTATGACCTAAGTGTCATAATTATTTTCTTTCAATGTTAGACGGCAGACACTTAAAAAGTGTTACAAGTTATCAAAGACTGAACACTACAACTAAATAACAAGTTAGATCTTTAACTTGACCCACTTCTTAAACTTGGTGATTAGGCTATTAAAACGCATGAACCATCGACATTATTTAAAGAGAAAAGTTATATTGCATAGCCAGTGCATATCCAAACTGATTCCAAATGTAAAACAATAATAAGACAAAAACACTCACTTTGCTTGATCTGATTTTCTGATTGAGGTTCAGCTGTTGTTTTTCGCTTTGATGGGATCTTTTTCTCTGGTTCTCTAATTTTTATAAATGTACCTAGGTATATCAAAAAAGTATGAACAATGAAAAGTGTATTGTATGTATTTGAGACTGCATTTTATATAATTAGCTCTTTCAATCCACCTGTTATACATAAGTGATCTTTAACGCATCAAATTAACTCTTTATGATGAATTTACGGGAATATTAACATTAAAATAAGATAGAAATCTGTTTTAAACGGATAATTGAGAAGTAGACGGAGTTCCTTTATCGCTGATTACGTTTACCTATCTTTGAAAATACTAAAATGCCTACTGAGAAATATCAGATGAGCCAGTGGTTAAGTGAAATCGCCACTTTCATTTATAAAACCATACGATTGTAAATTTGTACCATTTTTAGTTGGTATGCAATTTGCACTAGAATAGTAGGTCGTTAAATAAAGAATTTTGACGTTTAACTTACTAAATACCATATGAATTGCAGCATACTCAGCATACAAAAATAACAATCCTAAAAACACTTAGACGTACTCAATCGCACAGGCGTCACAATTTACAAAAATTACCCAGAGGAAATAGGTAAAACATAAGACAGCTACTCCAAAGACTATTTTACTTCTCAGTATACAGGAAGAATAAAAATAGACTACAAGAATAACAGGTGAAATTAAAACGCATATGACCAACAATGATACAAACTACATATATTCACTGCTGAGTCAGTGACAGTATTTTTTCAATTAGGTTTCCCCCCTCCTAACTCTGATATAATCTGTTCAACATTATGACAATGTGCTTACATTATCAGTCAAACCGGGTGTTATGGGAATGATAGACTGGAAAAATATCACTCATTAAGAAGGAATAAAAGTGTGACTTGCTCCAATAGCTTGTCAATGTTACAAACTACTTATCTGTCTACTAGACTAGACAAGAATATCAACACAAAATTACCTGTACACGTAGCTTGATGCTGACCCCACCACATATCCTTTGGACCTGGCACTCTATTCATTGAACGCTTAACATAACCAAAATATGGTGGACGACTACGACACGGCCCTGTACAGCGCCACCAGTGTGTTCGATATGCGTCAACTTCATCATGAAATGAATGGTAGACCTGATTGTGTTAAAAAAAATAACTTATCGTCAATTCAAATGTAGAATTATGCCACCAATAAACCAATTAGAAGACTGACATTTATAGATCAGCTAAGATTATTACCAGGACTGAAGTCTATAAAACATTGGAGACCACGTGCATTATTACACAAGTATTCATAGCAACATTTTGATCGTACCTCAATAGGCAGCTGTTTTTGAACCCATCGTCTATCAGGTGAAAGGGTAGTACTAGTTATTTTCTGCATTAAACCAGAAGGATGACATGAAGTCGCTGAACAGAATGCATGTTAGATAACACAGATCTCAGGAATTGAAACCTTGGTGCCAAGATACTGAAATCTAATTGTTTGATTTACGCCTGATCACCTTTTATTTGAACCTGTAGAATATCACACTTAAACTACGCTGCATTTCCAGTCGATAATAATTACAATCTAATATAAGGAAAAACGAGTCTGTTGAAATTATCCTACAGTGCTACAAAATTCGGAATACATGAACTTTCTGGGAGAAATTACGAAAAATATACGTGCAGTTTTAGACGTATACGCGAAACGTAACTGCATTTAATGAGATTTTACCTAAGAAATATGTCGAATGCATACTAATTACACTAGATATAATCAATTATTTAAAAACTACTTCGAAAAGTCTCGTAAACGGACGTGATGCACTATGATTGCATGACCAAAAGGTGTGACTAAATATATCTAGCCATTTTAAAATATACTTCAAATGAAACTGCCCAAAGACTATACTACTGACGCTGATATATTTAATTGTTTAATTTTATCTTAGATGGTGAGATGAGACTTCATCACATATTTCCAAATCATTCACCTACAAGCACTGCAGGTGCAACCAAAACCTGGTGTGTGCCCCGTTTTATACCATGCATTACACAATGTTGATGTATTACTGAGATCGCCATAGTCAGTCAGAATGGTTAGTAAACCACAGGCTTTATTCGCAACACCCTTGGAAAATTTGCACAACTACGACACAGGAACCACCTACACAAAAAAAGTTGTCCTTTCTACAGAGACTTGGTACTAAGCAATACAATAAGCAATCAAAATATTTTTTCAAAATGTCAGAGGCATGTTATGTAATGAAGTAGCTGAAAGATAGGGCAAACTGGTCATAAATTCGAATTAGAACATGAAAGCGCTTCTGAAAAGTGTGAAACTACCGTTATATTTAAACCAGCTAACGAATTTATACGATGCATATGTGATTTGAAATTGGGTCCATGGTCATCACGATCCTGAAGAGTGCATTAAATAAACAGACTACTTATTACCTTGTCTCTTCTTGTTATAAATAAAAAGCATGGATCATCTCATGCTGGAAAATTATTAAAGTGATATGCATCATACCAGTAGAGTTTCCACAAGATCTTTACGTGGTCTGAATTTCAGGAGAGGTGCACTCAGGCTTATTGAGCACGCGCCTTGTCTACCATGAATCTGCAAACTCCTGCGCATAGAGTCATTCTTGAACTCATTTGACTTCTACAGCACCAAGTGTATTTCCAAAAAACTGGCTATCAAATGATATGAAAAGTAACTTGATATCAGGTATAGGATCTAATAAGTCCCAGACAGGATCAGCCAAACAAGATGACGATATAGAATTATCTTTCACTTTATCCTGCAATATCAATGAATCATAATGACAAATGGACAAACCAGATCATTTGAAAGGCCACTTTCATTGTTTGGATGATTGGAATTCTTACCATTCTGTGCCAAAATTTTGCCACTGGACGACATCAAATCCGGACACAAGTTCTCTCGTCAAACTACCGCAGAAAACTGGTCGACCTTGAAAACAAAAGTGTCACTTGATCTAGCTCGTGTAATAAAACACCATGGATCCTGATATGAAAATTTTTCACCTGTTCAACTTAACATACCCTAAGCCTTTTCTGACTCGAAGATGAATTTATTCGCCTTTTCCAATAAACTATTGTCCTCTAAAATCAATTAGTTTTAAGGCCTTGAAAAAGTAACTCTGTGGTATGTAGCGGATAGTCCAAATTCACTCCTTAAACGTGCTGCCAAATTTTCATCATTCGAATAGGATCTTGCGTTGTATTTTTTGCTTCAGTAATATGAGTGAGAAATAATAATTCATTCAGTGTCAAAATAGTCTGGTTCCGACGGGACCAGTTGAATGTATTTAAGATGGCGCATTATCAGAAGCGCCGTGCACTCGTAATAGGTTATTTGCCTCAGATGAGCTGCCAAGCCCTATAAAGTCACCACCTTTCTTGCAAAAAAAATAAGTCTCAGTTTCGGGCAGCTGGGGAAAGAAGAATACATTTGACAGTGAAGTCTTGTCTCTCTATTAAGTTTAAATTTTCAGTGGCTTTTTCTTACGAACTACAGTCCTGCAGTAAAGAATGTCGAAATCTGAAAGCGATAGCTGACGAGCTAAAAATAATTTCCGTATGAGCTAGTTGGGTGAGCTTCCGTATGGTGCGCTGACTATAATTAGGTTCACTTTCAATGTTTATCCTTTGTGAACGATAATCTATTTCAAAACGACCTATAAGTGGTTTTAACAGTCACTCAAGTGAAGAACTACACTTCATGTGGTATCGTAACACGTTGTTTAAACTTCAACGTAGAAGTTGAAACTTTCACGACAGGTTAACTGATAAAATGTAATCTTACTGGACGTGCTATCCTAATTCACCAAACATTTGCGTTCGACGTTCACAGTTATTCTGTTTCTAAAATGTCTCAGTCACCTTTACGTCATGTATAATCCCCTAAATTGTTTGACTTTCGCGGATTCATACGAAATCAATGAAAAGAAAGTGTCTGATACTGTAAGATCCCTTAATCCTACAAGAATCTCGAGCAATATCAGCATGAACCATAGCCTCCTGATTGTCTGACTAATGCTGATGCAGTCTGCGCATAAAATTTACCCTATCTCCCTTGAGAATTCTACTGCGGGAAGTGTGAACACAGAAGCAACGTGATTTCTGTCTTTACAAGATAAAATTTCGATAAACCGGACCAGGGTTTTCAAAGATGACAGTTTTTGACCAATCCACCAAGGGGATTTTAGATGGACGTCATTCTTGTGATATCCATATGTCCGTGGTTGACTGTAAGTATTCTGAAACGGACTCTAGGCTAGGCATAAATGCTGTGAGTGCGCTGTTTTATATAAAACAAGGTTTGTGTTGTTTCCTAAGTGAACCTGGATGAATTTGTACCTTTAAGAGTACCGTAGTGCCCATACGAATTCCGAGAACAGCAAAATATCAACTTGAATTAGGACTGTCAGCCACGTCTCGTAAACCGTCAATGCACAGCTCTTGCTACACTGGGACTCACGCTGTTCCTTGAAGTTTCTCAGAAACGCTTAGTAATAACGGACGCGAAACCAAATCACCAATTGGCGACTCGAGAATTCTTTATTGTAACACCAACATATAAACAATGTCAAAACTAAAGTCTATGAACAAATATTACAATAGTAAATCACAATATTACATCTGACGGTTTTCTGCTGACTTCTTTCTGAACAGCGACCGATGAGACGATGACTGTCGTATTGATGCCTCCGCAAAAATTGGGGAAGTTGGTTTTGAGCAAACAACCATGAATTGATCGTTCAATCTTCAACTACATTGACACTCCCCGGCAAAAAAGGGATCCAACCCTTTTTTCCATCACGACCAATACACGTTGACTTGGATGCCATTGCGAGAACCTGGGTCACACGGACAGAGCTGAAATGGAAAACAAACAGAAAAGCCAACACACCACAAGCATACTCACAGCACAATCTCACACATCAATGACGACCTGCGCCTTCCAGTTAAAGGCATCCTCTTGCAACACATTCGCCACTTGCTAGAATGACTCTTGCAGAATACAACGTGACTATGGAAGTACCTCACGATGCTCTACGCTCATCCTCTTATCTACTCACTACCAATTACCACTGAAATTGCTTATCACTCATTCTGCCTCAGTTCTAGTAACGATGACGTATGAAAGCCTCAGTCGTTTACACACTCTCTCTCCGGCGTGTGGGACCACAGCTAATAATTATCTCCGTGTGCATTTCATTCTCAGCAATGGCCTCCCCGGCGTATACGACCCATCTGCTGTCTCTAACATCAATCAATTCATTCACGGATGTAGAAGACTAGAAACAACTTCAGAAGTAATCACGACGAAAATTTTAACAAAATTACGCAATAACAACAAGGTACGAAAACAACGAGTAAACACAATGAATCCAAAATCACAAATTGAGAAGACACACCACTCGTATACACAAACAGTACAAATAACCTCGCGGATCATGTCTTGGTGGAATTATTTTGAAGAATCGCAGGACCTACACCAGTACGCCTACAACCCTTCACAGGTTGACGATTGTAAGTTGTGGAATGTCCAGACACAAACAAGATTAACCAACAATTACAATAATTGGAACTCACACAATTATTTAACACAAACATATGTACAATCAGCACATCAAAGTGGTGGATTCTGCCTTGACGAACTACCCTTGAAGAACTGTAGGGCTTTCAGCAGTACGCCTACAACCCTTCTCAGGTTGACGCCCTAGGTTGGAAAATCGTCGCAGTGTTCATTTACTGACTTCCCGCTATCAGCTATATTCTCAAATCTGAATGGTAACACGCTCATGTCATTGTATCGTAGAATATAGATGACGAACAAACACACGACGTATCTGGTCAACCAAGCGTAGGCGCAGAGTAATTTACACCAAAGATAATAGCATTCAAATAGTAACTTGAAACTAGAAATGCCTTTATTCATGCAAGTCAATTTAACAATTACTCTCTCCTTTACACTTGGCTTATCCTCACTAAACTGACCATTGATATTCGTCCTTTCAAACGAACTGATACTATCATAGTCATTGCACAAGATACTTGAGTTGATGGGTGTCTGTTTCATTGTGGATGACAGCACCAACGACGACTGATTGATATCAGTTGATGAAGTTAGCGGTGGATCAGAAGCTGTTGTTGTTCGGCTTTCAGAAATTTGTCTACCTGCAAGACCACCACCACTGCTGTCTTTTACTATCAGCTCAGGTTTAGCAATAGCATCTGATGATAGGTGGGCTACATGCTGATCAATCACACTGACGGTCTCACAAGTATGCACACCTTCTGGAACTGCATCTGCAATTATTTCTACTTCACGTTGTAGTTGTACAGAACCTTTAATTAACTTAGCAGTAGTAGGCATATCCCTCATCTCATCATGAACAACCAAAGACAACTGTGAAGTATCATGATCATTATCACAAATATTCAATTTACCGTCATATTTCTGGTCGACTTCATCATTTTCAAATTCTTTAATAACAGCAATGGATGATTTGGGTTCTTCTTCACAAATCCCTAAAGATTTTATACCTTCACTCTGACTAGTAATACCTTGTAAACTTGTGGATTCAGAACTGTCATCTGAGACTGTAACTCTCTTCTGTGGCATTCTATTCAACAATGGCTTACCAGTTGCAACTACAGACTTCTTCACCGCAACATTATCGTCACACAATTCGGAGTCAGACCTGGAGTTCACATTTAGCTTATCACTGAACTTGCTCACTGGTTCACAGTTCACTTCTGTATGCACCTCTTGCACACGTGTAAAACACAACCATGTTTGTCTTGCATCTTGTAACTTATCTGTTGAGGATGTACTACGAAACCTGTTACACTCACCAGATCTATATGCATTACTAGACATCATGGAGCCTTCTCGATATCCACCTCTCTGAGGCCTACTCGTCATCAATGATTGCATTTTGCTCTCAGATTGCTCTATTCTAGGGGTGAGATTCAATATAATGGCAAACTTGCTCATAGATTGATTGACGCTATCTTTTACTAGTTTCAGGATATCATCAAATTTTGGCTCGATACCCTCATCCTCCATACGGGAGCTTATCTTCACCCACTTCCTTTGCAGTCGAGTAGGTAGACGTCTTGCTATTACTTCTAGTATAAAACTCGAGTTGAGGTCACTCATGCAATTCATCGAAATCAATGCATTCTTGTAAATTAGCAAATTATCCAAAAACTCAGTGAGTGCCTGGGAGTCATCCTGTAATTGACCACCATTACCCTTAACAGCCTCGAATAATTTCCCTGCAATCATCGAAGGTCTTCCAAACCTTTGACGTAGTATGCTCATAGCCTCGTAGTAGCCCTCTTTCGGCTTCATAAACTTACAACACTGTATAGCTCTTACAGAAACTCCAGTGCAATATCTCATCAAATACATTAACTTCAATTCATCATTTAATAAAAAACCACTCAGCATGATCTCAAACTCCTTTACAAATTGTAAATAATCAGCCGGGTTTCCATCGAAACACCGTGGTTCAAATTTAGGGAGTTTGATGTTCCTATTATCCCTGAACGGCGAAACAGTAACATCAACCATATCATGCTTAACATCAGACACATCGTTACAATTAACAGACAAGTCACCATGACTTACTTTCCTGTTTGCATCCAAGACGCTCTGTCCCTTATTTGACCCAGGCATTGTTGAACTTGACCCAATTCCAAAAACGTTTCAGATATTGCTTGTTCAAAGAGGACTTGACCGGGACCAGGAAAGATGAACGGTGACTATCCAAAGTCGTGCCAACTATCCAAAACCGTTTAAAAACTGACGGTGTACTGTCAGAAACTGTCAGCCACGTCTCGTAAACCGTCAATGCACAGCTCTTGCTACACTGGGACTCACGC